GCCAGTCACCACAAGATCCAACAGTGGCGTTGTTCGATGCGACTAGCTCCCGTTGTCTCAACATGGCCAGTTTGTTTGGCTGCTGTTGATTGCCAAGTGCAACAGAGTGCACAAGACTATTGAGGGGTTTTTGCTTGTGGCTATGGATAATCTCCACAGTGGGGTACTGGCAAAAGCCACTTTCACCTAAATGATACCGGCTTTGATAGTGGCTTCCCTGTCAACTACAGCTCTCAGTAAACCTCACCTCCGGTTAGTGTCCCTGAAGGATCAAAGGTGTCCCCAGCCAAGGTCACACTCCGAGTTCTGACCTTGGGGTCAAAGGTCACCTAAAATAAAGTTTAAAAAAGAAGGGAAAAAAAAACTGAATTTAGAGAACTAGATGCGATCACATCAAAGTTGTTTGCAAATTGTTCTGCCCCTTGTATCACTTTGCAGGGGGTGTTTCAAACATTTCTTACCAGTCACACGAACAGTAAGAATGTTTGCCATTCAGAAATTAAAGAGCACACTTCCAGACATACGACTTGGACTTTGACAAAAAATGGGAAAAAATAGGAAATTCCAATCTTGACAAGACTTTGTAGAGTGTTTTTAAATATTCAATGGCATGAGCGTGAAATGAAAAACACGGAAATCAGCTGATCCGAGGAAAAGTTGCGTGCCTTCACGTCTCAAGGTCTAACAGAAATTTCACGTTTGGGTTCAAAACCGTTTTACAGCGAAAAGGGATCGGGGAACCCGGCTGGGTATTGCTGAATATTTCTCCACGGGTATCCGCTGATATGCGGGTTGGGCCCTACCTTCTTGGCATGGTCCATCTGGTTGCAGACCAGCGATCCGCCAAAGACAAACTGCATGGCCGCCTCCACGTCCCTCTTGTAACCCACCAGCGACAGGGCGGTGTGGACGTTACCCTTGCCCACCTGGAAATCGAGACAGAGGGAGAGAAAAATGTCAAGTCTCTTTGTCACTGTTGCTATGATGTCACTTGGAGATCACTGCCTTGTTGCTATGGCAACCGCTTCACAGTTTGTCTAACAAAGCATCGCTGCTGACTGATATAATGCACTTCAGTGAACTGACGACGAAAATCTGTGAAGTGCAGGAACCGTACTTGGAGGTTTTGCCGGATCCTGAAAGCTATTGAAAATACCTATGTGCCGACAAGCTGTGGTCCTTCTGAATACAAATTCTATGCAACAGTGTAGCAACTTCCTAGTACTGAAGCAAGCGTCTTTATTTCCCACATATAACCTCACACTTTTCAAACACAATGCAATTCAAAATGCAAATCAAAGGTTACAGCAAGAGCAATTGAGAATATTTTCTGGGATAAAAGATTTCATAAGATGTAGACAATTTGGGGAGACCCTATCTTTTTCTCCAAAACCTCGAAGTTTTGGGAAGCACGGCAGCTGTTTAAGGTTGCCGTCATGTCCTCACCAGGTTCTCAGCAGTTTTGACTTTGTCAGGGGCCAGGGAGCGGGCGGCAATCTTGTTGAGGGGTATGATGGTGTAGCGCCGCTTCAGCTCTCCCTTCTGCAGCAACTTCTTGCTGGTGACTTCGGTGTCTACCACGACGTTGTACAACTACCAGAGACAAGAATGGCAAGGTGAAGTCACAGTCATCACAAGCCATCAAAATTTCTGAATACGACCCAGCAGGAAAACTGTCTACACATTAGCATGCCTGCATAAACCAGGTCATCTGATTTGACCAGAAGCACTCCTCACCGGTAAAGATGAGACAGGAAAGTGGAAAACGGTCGACTTGACACACGACGCGCATGTGAAGATTGTACATCAACAGAAATACGGGCAATTCACAATGTACTATGCCGCCAAGAGGTTGTCCTGGAGAGGCCTTTTTGTAGTGCACTATGGGATAATTGGTTGACAAAGTCTCACTCCCTAACTGTGCTGTGCACGGGAAACTTTAAGTTTTCGGGAAACTTTAAGTTTTCCGACTGTTTGTTTATCTTGGTTGAAAATAAAATTGCTGAAATTGCAAATTGGTGTTAGGTAGTCAAAATGACGGTTTTGCGTGGCACAGGGAATGACTCAATCACATATCCCCAAGTTACGCACCACAGCGCACTCAATTGCGGCAACGTGTCAACCGTAAATTTAAAAAGTTGTCCTGTCTGCAGCCAACTCTTGGTGGCGCACTGTATTATGAATGGCCCGTATTGGTCATGTGTGTACCATGCATCCTGTGCCAAATACACCTGAACTCGTGCACACACGCAGTGACCAGTCTCATCACTTGTAATGATGTTACTGAAATCAAACCCCCCAAAAATCCCGTATTCTAGAGGTAAGTTCTATCTTCGACTCTCGAGAGAGACGACTTTACTCTTGTTCGGTTGATTTCTGGTCCTTTTCTCCCCGATAGAGTAAATATTCCTTACTTAACGGATGTGGTGCAGATTGAAAGTGATGTAGGCCGTGTCCGAAACGGGCTTCCAGAGCTACGGCTAGGTCTATTGTCTACGCGTCTCCACGCATTTCCACTGGAGTGAAGACCTAGACCTAGCTCTAGACAAGAGATTCGGATGCGGCCTAAGTCTTACTTTGCGACCAGCTGTGACCTCTAGAGCTGTGGCATTCCGTACATCTTTAACCTGGATGAGGCGGGCTACCAGGCCATGCACTTTAGACCGGTCAAAACTCTTCTCCGGATCTCTGTACTCAAACTGCAGGTTGGGAAACCTTGGACGGGAAAGGACCAACATAATACCTTCAGAATTGGGCAATATTTGCATAATTGAATACTGCTACAAACAGTAACAGGCAAAAACAAGCTGGTAAAAATCAGTTTCTACTAAAAGACAAATCAGTGGTTTTAAGCAGCACAAAAGCCAGTATTTGCGATTGATATTTTAATTTCACTGTGTTTCGATGCACCCCTCCAAGATCTTTCAAAATCCATCAGGTTTCAAATGATTTCACTACAACACCGGACTAGGAAAGGCGAGAGCCCAGCCACTGTTTCTCAACACGGAGCTGGTGTCCAAGTCAGTTTCCAGCACAATGGTGGACTTCAGAGATCTGGGAGCTTCCCTGGGAGATGAGGCACTGTCTCTCTCTCTCTCTCTCACCTGGCGGTCAGCGCGTTGACCTTGTCCTGCAGCTGATGCACCTGCTCTCCTAGTTGCTTCTTCTGCTTCACCAGGGCGTCCTCCTTGCCGTCCTCAAAGCCTAGCTTCTTCATCTCCGCCTGTTTGGAATAAAAATCACCCCGAAGAGCACGATTGAGGCATCAGCATCAAACGTCAGTGAAAATTTTAAAAAACTGCTGTGAGCAGGCAGCAAGTGCACATTTTCCCATGGTAGGCAAAGTGTTTAAGTCTGGCTTGGTCAAGGATATTACCATATATAGATGGGCCACTGCGTCACTCTAAATGCATTCTGATGCACGGTTCTGGCTCTGTGTTTAGGTCTAGCAGCAAAATGAGCGCCATCTTTATCCAAAACTCCACGCTTGTGGTGACGCTTTTCGTCCTCATATACCTTAAGATGGGAATGGTCAGTCATGCAATTTGTTTGCCTGGCATGAGGCAGGGCAAGATGCCTCAATATTTCGTCAACTTGAACGCTGCATATCTTAAGTCGGTGGCGATGAATTTCTTATTGCATTGGTACAAGTAAAGATTAGAACATAAAGCTGACGCCTGTACTGCCCATTTTTTTTGCTCTATCAATCAACACTTCACTCATTGTTTTTTGCTTCATATACTCCATCCATCGGGCAAAGCACACACAAAATCCTTTGTAGGCTGCTTGGTCAGAATATGAAATGTGTGTGATGTAATGGCCCGCCCAAATATGGTAATACTAGTCCTGACTGATGGTGAGAAGCAGACTGTATGCAAACCTGACAGCACAATTTATTTCCTCCATAATTTAACTACTTGCTGCCACAGAGCCCAGTTTCGGGTACCTTGTATTCGTACGCATAATTGGACAAATTGTACGAAATTGGACAAAAGAGCTGGGCCTTGGAACAAAAGACTGTACTTGGAACAAAAGACCGAGCTGCTGGGAATTGCTAACATTTTTTCAGTTGTCAATAGCGGAGGAAATCCATCATTGTTTTGAAAGATTATACCACTGTTTGTGGCATTTAGTGCGAGCAGATTACCACTGGGGACAAAAGCACTCCAGCACTTCAGTGATGAGCGCTGATCTGGCCCCTATTGAAAAGATACCAGCAGCGCACTGTGCCAGTTTCGGGAACAAAAGAAACTTATGTGACACCACACAATCTGAGTTCTTTTGACAAGGTGGCAGGCCTGGCTGAAATACTCGGGCATCAATAGATGTTGTCTGTCAGATAGAGTAGCCACCAAACAGTCACTCGATGGGGTTTAGGCATTCAGGAACAAAAGATATGAATTGTTGAAGATTTTTGAAAACTGAAGATATTAAAAATCGCCCGGTCAGGAGAGGGTCAGGAGTTTGATCCAGCAGCTGGAATTATCTTGTGACTCAGGCAAAGTCAACTTCCCACATCTCTCTACCAAGCGGTATAATAACGACCGTCGTCATTCATCGGCTGTTTGTACCAGATATGGCAACATTGCTCACTGGGATGTTTCGAAGGTTTTTCAGAATTATGGGCCCAGGGAGCAGGGGTTACGATGTAACATCTTGGTCGGTAATACTAGTCACTGCGAATGCTTCATAAGTAATTGTTATCACTAACAGAATCTGACAGCAATACCAAGACAAACAGGATCATGTGTTGTATCTCAAAAAGATCACCGGGAAACTAGATCCTACCGGCTGTAACCGGTAAACTAGATCCTACCGGCTGTAACCGGTAAACTAGATCCTACCGGCTGTAACCGGTAAACTAGATCCTTCCGCCTGTAACCGGTAAACTAGATCCTACCGGCTGTAACCGGTAAACTAGATCCTACCGGCTGTAACCGGTAAACTAGATCCTACCGGCTGTAACCGGTAAACTAGATCCTACTGGCTGTAACCGGTAAACTAGATCCTACCGGCTGTAACTTTACCTCTATTTTGGCTTTGCTCTTCTGTACTGCCTCCAGGTTGGTCGTGTCCTTCTGGTATTCCTTCTCTGTCTTCTTCAGCTCCGACTGCTTTTTCTTGAGCTCGCCCTGGGCCGTCTTCAGGGTGCTCTGGGCCTGCTTCAGGCCTGTCTCGGCCGAGTTCATCTCGTCCTTGCAGGCTGGTGAAAAATGAGCGGAAAAGTTCCAAGTGTTTTATGTTCTACAGTCTTCTCTCTCTGAGCACTACGATGTGAGCACTGTCACAAAATGCTGCGCATGAACGGTGAGAAGTTGTGTGAAAATCTTGAAACGAGCCTCAGCAGTGTGTCAAAAATATGACTACGAGAGATGGCCCTCGAACACAAAAGTCACATTTTGGCTGTTTCTGGCCCATTATTTTCGATAATGTATGGTGTAGCACTTGCCACATTTTAGGACTTTTCTTGATGTTTGACGAAACTTTACGAATGTTATTGTTGGAAAGTGGTATAGCATTCAGACTTTGAGTTACTCTCCAATAAGGAAACTACCCATGAGCTGGTCGGCCAGCGTCTTGGCCTCCCCGCCGTCCTCACTGCTGGACAGGCCGGCAGACACCGCCTGCAGGTGCTTCTGGGCGGCCCCTACGGCCTCCGTGCTGGCCTTGTAGGCTGAGGCCACCTTCTCAAAGTTGGCACTGTTCTTCTCGATGTCCTTTTCTTTGCTCTTCAGGGTAGCTTGGTCCTAGGGAGTGGACGACAACATCATTGATTTTTTTCAATGGGGGCTCGTCATTCTTCCTCGCAACTGCAAGGCTAAATTACAAAGGACACCCCTACAATGTGGTCAAGCCAGAGATATAAAGGGTGCCCTGGCTGGCCATCAAGCAACCTTATTTGACAGCAGAGAACAGATAGAGATCAGAAGTGTCGATTTTCATGGAGGTAGGAAAACCAGAGAGCCCAGAGAACCTTGTGGCACTGGCGAGAACCGAAGGACAACTCTACTCACATGTGGCCTGGGCTGGGAAGCGAATTTGGGTCACAGAGGTGGAAGTTCTTTAACAGGTACCGGCGACCTAAGTGCCATACCTGCTTTTGCTCTATTCAAAATGTGATAAAACCCTCAAAGTGTGGTATCTTTTTAGCTCGACAAAGAACCAAGTTTAAACAGAAATTAAAAGCAACCGTTAAGCTACAAATTCTCATCTCATTCTGTGACAGCTGCTATGCAAAACTGCTCCCTCTTCCAGTGTGTCCAATGCAAGTTTCTGAAATACGACGCAGGAAAACCTGTCACATGAGGAAAAGAACATTGATGCCACAAAACTGCAGACCTCGTCGTAGCTCTTGAGTATGGCCTTCTTGTTCTTCTTCTCCTTGGTCAGGGATTCCCGCTGGTGCTGCACCGAGCTCTGCATCTTGGCGTCCACGCTCTGCTGCTCGGCCAGGCTCTTCTCCAGCTCCTTCATCCTCCCGCCGGCCTCGGCGTCCCGCTGCTTCTCCAGGTTCTTGATCAGCTGGCCCAGCTCCACGATCTTGTCGTCGATCTTGGGGGAGGGGGATGACAAGGCAATGAATGGAGTCATCATAATAGTCATGAACTGACTTTCCTAATTAAGTCTTCACTGGTGACCGACAGAAACATGTGAGAAACAGCTGACACACCAGGACCGCCACAGTGTGCCTGGTACCCTAGTGAAGATGCCATATAATTGTACACATTCTGATGAAAATCTGTCATGCATATTCCGTGTGGTACCAAGGATACAAGCAACAATTTACGAAAAGGTCTACAAGTGTGCAGAGGACAGTGTTTTTGTATTGCTGTACAGAAAATGTCATGTGCAAAGAAGAAAGTCGCAAGGATTTTGGATTCAAAAGGTCGGAATTCAGCCAAGATGTGGCTGCCTGTGCACACTGTGCACGCACGTGTAGGCATACAGGATGTCTCGAGATAGCTTACAAGTTGTTCGGCAGACGAAGAGAATTTGAAGATTGCAGGGAGCGTGTTCGATAGCAAAGGGGAAATAGAGGAGAACGCAGTACGATTGGCCGCATCCGAATCATCTATGGCTAGGATTAACACTCATGCCTATGGGAAGCAGATAGAGCTGCTATCCAGCGGCTTCCATCGCACATGTGTCACTTCTAGCCACTGCCATAACTTTTGGACGCGGCATTTTGGATAGTGGCTCCTCACCTCCTTCAGCCGGTCTCGGAGCTGGTTCATCTGGTCGGCCATCTTGGCCAGGTCCTCGGCCGACTTCTTGGACATCTCCTCGGCGCCCACAAACTGGTAGGCGATGTGGAGGCGAGAGAGGTGTTCCAGCTCGCGCAGGACCTTCTGGTACTCCAGGTAGTTGGAGCGCTCCTCCTTGAGGCGGGTCAGGGTGGGCGTGATCTCCTCAGACATGATCTGCGTCGCAAAGGAGGAAGGGACCAATTTCATCATGTTCTTTTTTAACTGGCTCTCTGGGCTACGAGCGCCAACGAAATCACTCTGTGTAGTTTCAATGTCATTTCTTTTATCTGACCCTCAATGAATCAGGATTTAAATATTTGGTGTGATGATTGGCCCTTATGAGAAACTCCTGCGATTAAATTTCCAATTGGACTTTTCTGTTTTTGAGATAAGGCTCAGCACAACCTTTTCACTAATTGGCAGTAAATTCTAACTTTACTCAAAACTCAAGTCTGTTCATTCGGTTTGCATGTAATCCAGCGATGAATGAGGAATTGTTAGCCTAAATATCAATCTCACGTGTGATAACCTGATTTAAAAAAATGTAAAGATAAACTTCACTTCCACAGATTTTAGGTCAAGGAATGCTGCAATCTCACTAATCCAGTGCTGAAGTTGATCAGCATAACTGTACAATACTTAACCACCGTTACATGTGTGTGTATGTAACATACTCTGAAAATAAGCTGCAAATAAATCAAGTGAAAATAGGGGAAACTTATCCACTTGCAGCCTGATGGGGAACTAAAATCAAGTAAAGGAAAGGAAAAATGAGAAAACTGGAATTCTTACCGAGTCAATTTCCTTGAGTTTAGCATCTTTCTTCTCAATGGTCTTCTGGGCAGAAGCTTTCTTGTTTTCATACATTCGGGTTCCTGCAGCCTCCTCAATCATTGCCAGAATCTGTGCAAACACACACGCGGTGAGCGTCACACAAATGTCTTGACACAACTGTGCACAAGGGACATTCATGCTGGGATACAATGTTCTCTAGGTCACCCTACCCCCACATTTTTCCAAAACAATGTGATGTGAAGGTATTTTTTCCTCCCAAAGGATCTTGACCAGGCCAATTTCAGCGCTGATGACTTGGTAGTTGGGACACACCCACTGTTGCCACTGGTAATGGTTGAATAAATGTGCAAGGACTATCTCGCAGTGATTGTCCAGAAGCGATTCCTTTGTAAGAGACCAAGATCTACATACAGTTTCATGAACTTTGATAGTTTAGTAGAAGAGTATTTCCCTTTCAAATCAGTCTGCAATTCTGAAGTAACAGTCTGATGTAGCTTTGGTTTTCAATTTCCCTGATCTTTGGAATGAGTTTGAACCTTTGCCAAACCACATCTACTTGTAAATGTAACAACTCTCCACAGAACATCCTGATGACTGCACAATCATCAACATTATGCCCAAAATACGCTTGACAAAGACGCGCATGTGCTTACAACTAATTCAATGAAATCCTCTGCAGAACACTTGGTAGGCTCAGACAGTGAGTGTTCTCTTGCGTTTATATAATCTATGACTGTGGCATGGGGTTCCATGGCTTTTGTACACCTTCGGAGGCAAATGTCGCCCAAGGCAAAGCGGACATTGCCTTTTACCCCCTCAGGTTTACAAAACACTACGGACCCCTACATAGCAGGTAACAATTGTACAACGAGTGTGGTGACATCTACCCCTCTCCGCCAAGCCAAGCCCGATCAAATTCAAATCACAAGCGGTGAGACGCAACTCACCTCCGGGGGCTTCATGTTCAGCACTTTGGTGATGCGCCCCTGCATGATGAGGAAGTGGGGGTTGTTGACGTTGAGCTGGACCGAGCAGAAGAGGTCCTGCACCCGGCTGTTGTTGGCGTTGCTGCCATTAATCAGATACTTGTTGCGCCCACCAATCACCACCTGGGACAGGTTGGCATTCACGGAGTAAAGTGTGAAAATCGTAGGGGTTAGAATGGAACAACATCTGGATCCTTTCAGAGGATTTTATAACGCAGCTGTCCGCTCGAGTCCGGCACACTCCCCCGAGGACGGCCACAGCACACTGGCCGAAACGACGAGTTAACACTCACCGGTTCTTCTAAGAACCACACCTCAACCCACAGAGATTTATTCCATGGTGTACCCGCAAACCTATTTCCTAAGAGCATTTGGCTGGTGCTGCTTAACATTTGAGTGAATTCTTGCAACAAGTGAAGTTATTTGATGTGTAAGGAAATGCCCCCATGAAATCAGGTCTTCCTCTTATCCAAATGATACACGTACATGTAACTTAACCACACGTTTTCAACTGCTAAGGAAACATAAATCCCTGTTTCTTTTTTAATTGCCCATTCCAAGAATGTTCCAAAGATCCCCAAAATACTGAAACTTTCAGAAGCTGCCCTACCCTGCTGAAAAAAGGATAAATACTTGAATACTTGTTTCACATGGATCTGGATCACGATCAGTGATCTGTCATTGGTTTACAGACACCAAAACTCACCTAATAGATAGTGTGAACCAGCGATAGGATCACTGATTGAGATCCAGATCCATGTGAAACAAACAGGACCTAATAAACTGCAGTATCCAGTGCTCCAGTCAACTGGTGCACTGTACATGTACTTGCAGTACTTCTTAGTGTGTATACGGTACTTCAGCTGACATAAAGTATGTAGCATTTTGTAGTCTAGGGTCCATCCATCCAAATTAATATCCAGACGGTTAGGAGGAAGGCTGAGCGCAAAATTGTATTCATATTGGACGACTGAGGACCGTCAACCAGTGCCAAGTGCTACCTACCTGTCTGGAGACGGTGATTTCATCAAACGTTTCATATCCCAATGGGCTCTGTTTCTTGTCCCGGTTATCAAAGGTGATGGTCACTGTAGCCTTGGTAACACCAGCCTGGCCCCCTTTGTACACCAGCTCTTGAAGACTACCAGCGCGGACCTGAACAATTGACCAAGTGCATTATGAATCATGGAAAGTGACTCAAATGATTCTAATCTTTGTACAAGTTGAAGTACGAGAATAAGCAAGTAAACGCAGGCCTCTCCTTGCAACTGTTTCGGTAAAGGTGTAACAAGATGTCGAGTGCCCATTACATTTCACTTTTCGATTCAAATTTACACAAATAACCACCTTTATTGCAAGGCGGCTGACACTGCTAGTCTCTAATTCTGCAAAGCTACATGTACCTCGGATACTGATATTATTTGGAATAACAAGATACCGTTAAAGAAAAGATTGATTTATCTGTAAGGGGATACTGAAGTGCCTAAATCAGAGGTCGAATGCAACGAGTGGTTACAGTGGTGGATCAGGTCACAGTTATACGGTGTAGATTGAGGTTCCAAACAATTCAGTGTATCAAATTTAATTCCTGGTTTGTGTGACGAATTTGTTTTTCTACAAAATAAAAAAAAGAAAAGAAAGGTCCACTATTGACCTTTCCTGTTTTAAACTCAATCTGATATTAAATGTAAACATACATTGTAAATTGCAAATATGGTGAATTTTACTCTTTTTGTGTTTGGGGGAGGGGGGCCCGAAAATGCAACGTGTCTGAATTCCATCTCGCGAATACGAGTTCACAATGACAATGTAATCAAGGCAATGTACATGTAAATATGGAACCAAACAAACACTTCTCACACATGCTAACATTTCAAAATCCTTGAACACTCATCGGGGGTGTGAGTGGCCACCTAAAATTAAAGCTGAAAACAGCTCGGAAAAAGCTGAAATGTAAAAAAGTTCCCTTACTTTTGTACAGACCAGGTGTACAAAAAAGCTGAAATACGGGGTCAACATCTAAACAAAAAAAAGGTGAATTCTCACACCCCTGACTCATGACAGATGTGCAGTTGCAGGAATACCGGCGATTCACAATAGTGCGCCACCAAGAGTTTGCAATGCGTTGGCCAATCATAATGCACGAAATTTGTCGACCCCTTTCCAAACGCGCATTGGGTCGACAAATTTCGCGCACTGTGATTGGCCAACGCATTACAAAGTCTTGGGGGCGCACTATTGTGAAACGGCTGTACTGCCAGGCGTGACTTGTGTATCCAGTCATCACATACATGTAGGCCTACATGTACTTCTACTTGCCACCAAACAAGAAATTTCCTTCACCTTGTACTGTCATGTTACAGACAAGTCAACATGGTCAATGCAGGAACATAAGTTGTTACAGCATGTGGGCCTAGGTCATATTTTGAAAACTTTGTTAGAGTTTATTAAACTTCACTTCAGAATTACGGTGTCCAGGAGTGGAGTCCAAATACATCCCATTCTCAGCCATGTATATCAGTTGAGTTAAACAATAAAAAGGGGAAAAAATCAAAAGATGGAAAGAGTGAAATTGAAAATTCAACAAGTTGAAAAACAAATATAATCTGCTACAACAACAACAACTAACGTTGGGCCTATCATTATCAATGACCTAGTCCAAATATCTTGGACTGAATGGACTCTACGAATCGCCATTTTTAACATTTAACTGTTAAACATGAATGGCTCAGACTAATCATGACCATAATGACCGTGGCATGAACATGATGAATGGTCAGATGGTCGTCTGTTGCCTTACACATTGCATGTCAATCAAAAGTCAGGTTTTGACAATCTGACAATCATGACAAAAAATTTTTAAACAGTCATGACAGTGAACCATTCATGAATGTGGCATGTAAATAGGCCTACCATCACCTGACCATGTTTATAAGCTTTTTCAACCCTCATATGCCATGTATGCAAAGATACATTATTGGCACAATTGTCATGGTCAAATTTCCCATAGGCCTAGGCCCTATGTCATGTCCTTAAGTTATAGGCCTACTGGCATGACTGGGTTGGGGCAAATCAAGTGGAAGAAATTTGTGACTCTTTTTGACGGTTACAGCAAAAGGAGGGTTACAGAAAGAAGATTGCCTTCGCGTTCTTGTAAAAATAAGCATGATCTTTTCTTGCTTTGGTACAAATAACAAATAAGGTTACACAAACCAAAATTACCTGTGTTAAATTGCTGATTCCCAACAGAAAACAAATGGAGTCCAAAATATTGGACTTTCCCGATCCATTCAGTCCGGTAATTGCATTAAAGAGAGGGTCAAATCCCTTAATTTCAGTCCTCTGAGCGTAGGATTTAAACCCATCTATGATAATCTCCTTGATATACATTTTGAAATTCCCTTGTATGCCATAAAAAGTGAAAAATATTTGGTACTCCCAATGATACGGCGTCCACCTTTACATGTACAAATGCTGCCTCAGTCAAAATCGGCGCCGAATCGACGGTTGGATAGAAATGCGCACGCGCACAATCTCCCATAAATCTTTGCGATTAAAAATGGCAGCGCCCACTTGATTTTTCTCGTAGCGGCTGACTAGTGAAAATATTTTGACAAAAACCAAGTACTAGTAGGTATTTATTTGCTTCTGAGTTATCATTTCGAACAGAATATGTAAACTTCATTTTGTTTTTATAGAAAAGTCAATGATCATGTGGTCCTGTAAAACCATGGAGGAACCCCAGCCGCGCCACAAGCCGCACTTGGCTGCTTGGGCGGTGTTGCTCTAGCTCACGTACAACGCGCAGCGCTCACGCATACATCGTATACGCGTAGGGCCTACATGGGTTTTGCAAATGACCTGAGGGCGCCTTGTCATCGGAAAAGAGGATTTTTAGTTCACTGACATCACATGACACCCGCCTAGTGCATAAACACTGTGATGAGACCTTTGTTTGAGTAAATTTCCTTCCATAGTTGAAAATGGAAAGTTTTGCCACCTAGGCCTAAACTTAAAGAGGTTTTTATAAAACAATGGTTCCGGGACTATTTTAGTTGTGGACTTTTTTAACAACTTTTTAGTCTCATGACTGAAGATTGAGTTACATTTTAATTTTTACTAGACTTTTTCACATTTTACAAAAGATGATTATTCAGAGCCAGCAGTAACCGAAACTGCTTTGCAGAGATGGCCACAGCATTCAGCAGTGATGGCTCAGAAATCATCCAGAGGTCGATTGAGGTCAGTGCCATACAGGCATCACTTGAAGCTGACCTTCCCTCTGCATATGAAATACCTCGGTGTGTGGATTTTATCAGGAAGAATGGCTATTCCAAGGTACATCCTCGTGGACAATTTCATACATTTTTTTCACTTTTAATGTGCTCAACCATCTACATCTACATCATGTATATGATTACCATAGAATAAAAAAAAATCAGAGTTCATTTAATTTCCAGCTTCTTCAAAGGATTCAGTGTTCATGCAGTAACGCTAAACAGCATACGGTGTATTTATTGAGTGTGCTTGAATTTCAGACTGAATGTCTGTGTGCTGGTCAATGTTCATGCGCATGCATCATGCATTACCCTGTAGGTTGCATTGCAGTTTCCTGATGAACTCCTTCCAGATTCGTCTTCCATCGTCAAGCTTCTTCAGCAGGAGACAAGTGCTACCGTCTTCATTCTTGCAGATACTTCGTATGGAAGGTACACACTCTGTGTATATTCCTGCTGCAGTTTGTATTGTGCCAGTGTAGCATTACTCGCACTCGTATGTATGTACTCTTTTGGTACTCGTACTCATACTCACGAAGATTTATTCAGACTCATACTCATGGGAGTGAACTCAACTACAACACTGCATTGTGCACAGCACTGCTTACCTTTGAGGGGTTTACCAGTTGACATTCTAACCCCGTCTCCCCATAAAGTTGTTGTTATTTAGCTCAGTTGCAGAATGCCCCGCCAACCCCCATGATCAACCTCATAGCCAGGTACAGGTCAAAAAGTCACACGCTTCTCAAGGGATTTTCACCTTGTAACCAGTCACAAGTATGGAATCGCGTCTGTGACATATTAGTGGCAATAGCCAAGCTAGATAATACAACAAACGCCAATTATCAAATGGAGAAGCCTATTAGATGTAAAAAGATCCACCTAGCACAGATGTGTCTCAACTAGCCTAAAACAAACAAAGCAGTGTAAGGGTGGTGCTGTCCGGCGATGTTACGGGCCCTACTGCCTCGTAATTGGCAGTTCTCATGTTGCTGCCGTTTCTTTCCCAAAACTGCAGAGCTAATCAAAATAATGCACGTCGCACCCTTCGTTATGTTGTCTGGGTTGAGGTAGTGTACTATAAGACTGAACTCACTGAAATCCAATTTTCTACAGCTGCTGTGTGGACGAGATTGCTGCTCAGCATGCCAACGCAGACAGCATCATCCATTTCGGCAGGGCTTGTCTCAGCCCGACGTCACGCCTCCCCGTCCTCTACGTCTTTGGCCGGAGACCCATCGATGAAGACCACTGCTGCGAAATCTTCCAGGAATTCTTTGGGGACAGCTCCAAGCCAGTTGTAGTCATGTATGATGTTGTATACGCACACTGCGTAGGTACGTTCATCTACAAAGTGGTCAAAGAATAGCAAACTTTTAAAAGCACCCTAGTTCCTTTTTTTGTTTGATAGAAACAAATGTCCCCTGCAGTGCACAAAACTGTTACCTTGGAAAACATAAGGCCACATACCTGGAAGTTTGTATGGGTTGAATTCAGTGACAAACGGAAGGTTGTGGTGACACAAGTTGTAAGAATTAAGGGCAAAGTCTTCAGAGCATGGAGTTGGTAGTTACGTTTCGAAGGATAAAGAGCTTTAAGTAGTCAGTTGCTGTTTTGAGTCAGTTTGTCATGTGTGCAGCTTTGCTGTGGAATATGCAAACATTTTACGAAACAAAGGCGAGAGTGAAAATAGAAAAAACACCGATTTGAGGTAATTTGTTTCCAAAAGCCTCTGCGATTATGCACTGCAAGTAATTTATTCCAAAAGCCAGTTGAAGCAAACGTTTATGCTTCAGTGACCACCAATTAGTGATGTATTATCATCGTTTATTCCATTGTCCCAGATTCTCTTGCAAGGAGACTGATGGAAGTCCTGCCAGTCGTTGTCGTATCAAGGATTGTGGATCCGGCAATCGATCTTGGCAGAAATACATTAAATCTAAACAACAGTAGGACTAGCAGTGGAGGCGATGACGATGATGGAACAGATGTTGATTTAGCCCTTCTGTCCATGTCGAACACATTCTGCCAGTTTGGCCGGCGATTCACAATTGGCTGTGAACACGCGCTCGAGGACTACGCAGTGTTTTACGTCGGCGCTCAAACCACGACGCTTACCAACCTCATGATGACCTACAACAGGTGTCCGTTCTTCACCTACGATCCCGAGCAACGGCGGAGCCATCGCGAGACACTGAACGTCAACCGGGCGCTCATGAAACGCTACTATCTGATTGAGAGGGCACGGGATGCGAATGTAGTGGGCATCGTCGCGGGGACACTCGGTGTGAGGGACTACCTGACCGTCATAAACCAACTCAAAACCCTCCTAAAGAAGGCAGGCAAGAAGACCTACACATTTGTGGTGGGGAAACTCAATGTGGCCAAGCTTGCCAACTTCATGGAGGTGGACATCTACGTGCTCGTCTCCTGCCCAGAGAACAGTCTCATCGATTCGTCCGAGTTCTACAAGCCTGTTGTCACACCATTTGAGATGGAAATTGCTTGCAACAGAGCCCGAGAATGGACCGGAGAATATGTAACAGACTTCAGACAGATTCTACCAGGTAATTTTTGGGGGCACTCTAGTTTTATTTGCAACGAAAAGGCGACTTTTGTTGAATCTGAACAAGCATACCTTCCACTTGAGTGTTGAGGAGAGCAGTGCTGGTTGGCAAAGTTTTCAAGAGTTTTCAGAAATATTTCTACAAGATCACAGTTTGTTTCTCTGAGCAAGACAGCTGGCTACAATTACTATTCCCCAGTGTTAGTGTGAGCATGAAGTGTCCTGAATTCCACATGAAATTGCATTGCAAACCCTGTAGAATTTTCGCCATCCCCAGTGACAAAGCGACATCCAACCCTATGCAAAGTAATCATGGCCAGACTCCACCTTCCTCAATTCCTTCAAAAGCTTCACAAAAATTCCGATGGGATTGGAAGGGTCTTTGGGCCTGAGAGTTAAACCCCAACTTGGCCAGTAAAACAAGATTTACTGGGGAGCTCATCTTTGCCTCGTGGGCAATTTCTGAGATCTTTATTGGCTACCGAGTGAGCTAATTGACCCGATTTTGCTTTGCAAACTTTTCTTCCCTCGAGGTCTCAGTGCATTTCCACCCCCACTCTTTTTTTTCCCCAACACAGGAGCAGCCAAGCATGTAGAGCTCCCCTCCAGTGACTCAGAAGAGCGAGAAGTGCCCACCGACATCTCCTTGGTAACGGGCAAACTGAGGTCCCTTGGGAGAACGGAGGAAGCGTCTGATGTGACTGCGTCCGACGCCTTAGTCAGACGGGACAAAATGATGACGGTGGGCACAGTGCATGCCAATGCCAGTATGTACGGTTCTTTTGCTCAAAAAGGGTCCAGTGTTTATTCCCAATCTCTGGTTGGAAACTTGGGCCAGAAGTTGAGTTTGGAGAGAGACATTGGGCCAGTTCGTTCAAGGACCACTAGTTAACTAGTGGTTGGTTTGTGATGTGCCTGTGCAGTGAAGTTGAGGTGCAAATGACCCTAGTCAACCGTGGCCAGGTCATCAGGCCGAAGGGGAGAAAAGGTGGTGGCAGGAAAGGCAAAATAGCGCAAATAAAAGTGAAAGTTGTCGTTCACTAGCGACATACTGTTTTCCCTGGCATTTTTCTTATAACTGGTCCCCTCTGCACTGTGCTATTAAAAACGATTTATGGCAACCACTGATGCGACCAACCTCGATAGGTCGGTCGCGAATAAATGACTAGACTGGTCCAACCATTGTTGACTAGCGTGTGCTCGATCAGAGTAGTCGAACTATGGTTAACTATGGTCCTTTATAAAACTTGCCCACCCCTGTACATTGGAAATGTGTTAGGCTACTGATGGATCACCCTCTCTGTGGAAATGAGTCACAAGTCACCCGAGCCACTTCTGAGTAACAGGCCTTAAAAAGAATCTTGCATCATGGAAATCATTGGGAATCTTCAACTTTTTTTACCCACATAATGTCCAGTTTCATCAGGATGCCAGATATGAGTGAAACAAAGAGCCGAGCTTGCTCTAACAAACTGAAACAAAAATTACCAAAAAAATTGGCCTTACGACTCAATTTCACCGAGTGAGTCACAATTTTCCCGAGCTCAAAAATTTTCTTAGCAGAAATAGGATTTGCTTAGAAAAAATAGGTTACCAGCCAAAAATTTATGGTATGTGCATTTCATGTGACTGGTTCTCGGCTCCTTTTTGGTAAGCGCATCAATTTCCTAAGCAAGATTTTCTGCCGAGAGGCTTTACGGGTCATGGCTTGTTGCCCAAGTTGCTTTCGTCACTCCACTACAAAATTAAACCATTTTTAAGGCTCATATTCTTGAACAGAACAAATTCAGCTGAGGGTGCTCTCCATTTTCTTCTCTGCAGGCGAGTTCTTGGCGGGGAGGTCCTGGCAGGGGTTGGAGCAGCAGCTGGGCCAGACGCCCGTTGCCAAGGCCGTGGAGGGCAGGTTGGGCATAGCAGCCAGCTACAGCGGGGAGTCTACAGGCTAAGGAAGATCACCAGTGCGTGGCAGGGTTCTGATTTCTCAGGATTTTTTTTTTTTTTCGGCATTTCAGAAATTCCGGGTTTTGAGAATTCAGTCATGCGGGGCCTTGCTACTTCTGTGCACATTTGGAAAAGATGACTATTGGAGCTCCGTAGGACCTCTGCTCAAGGGGCAAAATTCACTGAACTAAATCGAGAGCCAGTGGCAAATCCCAGGTTTGGCGAACATCATGTAGCTTTGTCACAAAGGTTGAGAGCATGGATCAACTACTCCACACAGCGCGCTCTTCTGACAGTGACAACCAGACCGTTAAATTTGCAACCCCAAAATATGTCACCTTAAAATATAATATGCTCTACAGACTGCTAAGACTGATATCAGACGCATTTGAGTGGCAAATAAACAAGTTCATAAATCAGTTCTCAGTGTGAGAAATTGAGCAGGATTTGAAATCATCTCCTTCAGATGACTGCAGCGGGACTTTAACTCATAAAATCGGTGCAAATTGTATCAGGATTTCCGAGTAATTTGCCGTTTGTTCAGTATTCACATTTGTGGGACACACATTAATATCTTCAGGATGAGAGGGCTAGACAGTGGATTTGGAGACCCATTCTGGTTGAGTCTTGGTCTGGTCTTTGGTTTACGATTTCTCAGTCATCTTCTGTGTTCACTTTGAAAGACATTTTTATCCAAATCTGTGCAACAATAAAGTCTGAATGTAAGGGCTATTATTAAATACAAATTTCCGATATCACGATGTATATTGTTTAAATTGAGAATCGTACATGAAATTTTGTTTTTGCACTGATTTGTTCAGTGTAAGAGGACATCAATTTTCAAAATCAAAGAGACAAAAATAAATTTAACAAAAGAAACACAGAAAACTATCTGGTGTCTACAAAAATTTCTCATTTATTCGGCAGATTTGCATAAGCATCCATAAAGACAGCAAAAACCAGGGTTTTGAAAACAATTTGGATACCGACTGTTACCACTGATTTTTTACAATGACATTTAAATCAGAGAATGTCAGTGTTTAAAGAATTCTTTTATCCATGGATGGGCCGAGTTTTGTTACACCACAGAACTAAAATTTCTCCTCAACAGTTGCAATAAAGTTTCCATTTTTAGGGGGGTTGGGGTAAGGTTTAGGCAATACGTAACTTAGCGTGGTAGGACAGTTTTTTAAACGGAGGCACGCCTCAATACCCTTCAAAAAATCTCTATGAAGGATGTGACGTCCGATACCAAAATCTGGGGTTTCTAGAACGTTCAAATGCCATTCCAACAACACAATAATCCAAAGACATTGGTCACTTAAAACAATTTTTGAAACTTACTCTGAAGTTAAATTACAATTCATCCGTAACCAGTAAGTGCCCGGTTGTGGTGTGTGGTGTCAAATATTTTGATGTGTTGGAAAAAAAAATCAAATCAAATCACAATGTGCTTGATTTTAATACAATCATGCAGCAAAAAGGACAAACTGCTTCAAGTGGCCACAAAAATGAATCAAAAAATGCATTAAAAAAACCCAAACAGGGTACAGGTAACAATTAGTCAATACCAGTCCATCCTTACATAGGGTGCGCAGAGCTGGTAATCAGTGGATCACATTTTAGGGCTGAATCCACAGAGATTTGTGTAGTTCAAACCCATTAAAAGACATGACTTCAAGTCAAAAACAGAACATCAAACCAATACAAAAAGCTGAAGTATTGAAGGACTGGTGTCAATATACAATGACCATTTTTGAAGCAGTTTCATGTTTGCTGTTTGTTTAAGCATTTTTATAATAAACCAATCTAAAAAGCCAAGCCTTGTGGTATTCTGAACAATCACATTCGCCAATGTGCATGCACACTATGTCTCATTCCGCTGGCAAATGTTCATGGCCCATGTGCTTAGTGGGCGGGACAACAGTGGACTGGCCCAATTGGAATCTCAGCGCCCAATTTATCTTCCTATTCTGCACAGGCTGATCATTACAAACATAATCACAAAAACCTCAGGAAAAAAAAAGGTTTCACACAGAAAGACAAAAACCTCTTTCCTCTATATATCTATCAAAACAGAGCCCTGACCCGCAGAACCACAGAACCTCAAGTACATGAAAATACAAATCACATGTAGTGCTCTGACAACAAAAAAAAAATCCCGCAATATTCAAATAACTGAATATTCAAGTATTTCCTGGTGTTATAGTCCATGCTGCAATTTAGCACTTGAGCCGGATAGTACCTAGGCTTGTCACAGGTGCTAAATATGGGTGGGGTGGCTTCTCTTCAAAGTTTGACACGCAGCTGGCATCAAAAGAAGACGCCCCACCCCAGTTAATTGTAAAGGTAAATCAGTTGAAATAATAAAGAAAAATGAAAAACACAAACAAATGCACTGATACACACCCAAAGTGTTTAACTATACGTACCAATCCAAAATTATGAAAACTGAACGAAGTTCTTTTTTTTAACAAAACAAAAACATGTCTCTCTGAAAATTAGCCAGAATTGATAGTAACATGCCATCTCTTTTTTTTTTTGTCTCGAAAATATACATACATTCTACAAAAAGTACCTAAGTGCACATTCTTAGTAGCTTAATTTGTTAAAATTCTTTACAAACATGTACACTGGTGGTTTTTTTGTGTGCACTAATGTAGGAGACCAACTTTCGTGTACTGCAAACGCTTCTTATGAGGTGTATGAAATTTGGCAGCTGTGTCCGGAAAGGCATTTAATTGGTGTGCTAGCTGTATGCCCGCTTACAAGTATGGTTAGACTTGCTGCAATACGTGTACGTAAGGCAACAGTCAGGCAGACTTTCACGTTCAACTCAAGTGATCCATGATTAGCTTTCAGTTTGCTGGCATATAAGCCGTTTTGTCCAGGAGTGCATACATGTTTAAGTGGTTAGCCACCTGTAAGGACCTGTAAGGCAAACCCCATATCCCTTCCCCTCCTGGTGAATTTTCTTTTGAATTGAACCCCGAATCGGCTGATGCTCATGCAAGATATTTCTATCAACCCGCCTAAACCCACAACCCTCTCCCAAATTTCTGCCTGTCCCACTTCACTGTTCCCAGCCCCAGTTCTGCCCCTGCCCCACTAGAATAATACGTTCTCCATACCATCCCTATAGCCATCCTACAGCTTACCCCACCCACCCCACCAATCCCCAACCAACCCAACCCCTTTTAACCCACCAAACCCCTTCCAACCCAACTAAAACCCATCCAACCCAATCGTCTATTGCTTTCCCATGTGCCCCGGGCCCAACTTTATGGAGCTCTTCAAGTTACCACTGAGCAAACTTAAAAGCTGGGAACCATTCACAAGCAGTGTTTGCTGCACGACATCTTAGCTGGTAACCTGTTTCTGCTAAGCAGATTTTTTTGTGCCAAGCAATTTGCCCCCCTCTGCAGCTCCATGAAATGGGCCCCTGGCGCCAGACTACCCACCATCAAACACAAATAGGTGTCTGGTTCCCAAACTAAAACTGTTAAAACACCCCTTCCCCATATTAAGGCCCAAAGGCTAACATCCCAATTTCCCCATCGTTTCAAATCAACCCTAACCTCCAAAGGCATATGGAAACAAAAATCCTATTGAAGTTTGGAGGACAAGGTTAATGAAAGTTTGGACCAATCAGAGGACATCGCTGTACACTCACAGGGGGCTTAGAAATGCCTTTAGTCACAATATTCAACTGCCTAGTAGCACATCAAAACAGTTTCTGGGTACAAGTGTGAGCTATCCTGTACTCTGATTGGTCAATAAAAGCAAAAGTAATTTCACAAGAGTGAATGGGGGAGGCTTTTGAAACTGAAGCACTGCGTCTTGAAGTCAGCCGATCAATTCTGCTTCAAGACACTAATGCAATTGTTATCCGACCCCCCCAACTTGCTCCCCACTTCCCCACCCACAAAAGCCTCCCTCCCTCCAAAAACTGCTCCTGCAGTTCTAAAAAAGGACCCTTCTGGTCAGGAATCAGTCTGCAATTTAACAGCAGCCTCAACATAAAGATTGTCTACGTTCTTGCATTTAAAAAGTTGTCAAAAAAGTTTACTTCTTTTTGTGTTCAATTGTTTTTTTAAAAAAATATTTTCTGATGCCAATGACCACATCACAATTCCTGACCAGAGGAAATCCACGCATTAGAAAGCCTCCACTCCCCATTTCCACAAATCAAAGATGGAAGCTTGCCCCCGATTCAACAAATTCAATTAACCTCTGAGAAAATCCTGTACAAACTTAGAAAAAATGCTCAGAATTATTCCATCTTCTGAGACCTATAGATACACGTATACGGAAATGGGAAGTAGAGTTTCACAAGATCAACAACATGTCCCTTGTTAATTACATGTTAACATTTTGCATAAGCCAAGCCCATAGCCAGATTTCTTTGACCTGTCTGCCTGCTGTCTCTAAGATAGTGTGTCATTTTCCAATGCCTTGTAAAATGGCTTAAATGTACAAATAAGGTACTACTTATGACAGCAACAAGAAAAGAGTAATTTCAGTCTGTTAAACTCTTCAGGTTCCTGCCAAGATTTCAACATTCTGACTAAGGGCCTGCTTCTGACAAAATCCACTAAAAAATACTAAAACTCAATTATATTCTTGAACACAACACAACACTTCTCATTCAATTGCACTTTATTTTTCTTAAAGGAGGGATATTTTCCTGAAATTTTGAAAAATGAAGACAGAAGCTTCTCACGAATTCTTTCAACAGTACAATAGGGTCTCAGTGAGAATTCCTGAAAAGTTTCTTTTCTTCAACAACGTTATGCAAAATTCCACACAAAATTTCACCAAGGGGCATACACACAGTGACAATTCCATGAACAAATCCCGTGCGTCCTGTGCGCAGTTGGCAATATCTCCAATTCAAGTTCTGATGGGCATACAAAAATATTAAAATCTCGTAGATGGCAACAGATTTTGTGTGGCATTTTACATGACAAATAATTTACCCAGGTTAACAAAAACAAGATTTTAAAATGTGTAAATTTATCTATACAATGGAAAAATAATGTAAAAATAAGAATTACAAAATAAAAAAAAAATGAGCAAGGCCAATTAAGGGGTTCCCTCTATTTCATGGCACACTCAAATTTGGTTGGGAGAAAGCCAACTATGATTGCTTGTTCATGGTTGGTAAAACCCAAAACCTTTCACATTTCTCTCAAATAAAATGGATCCAAAATGAAACTCAGTTTTGCTTCTATTTATTCAATGACCATACTTTTCCTTTTCCATGGTGCTTTGGTAACATCTGAAACTTAATAATCTGAAGTGAATAAGGATGAATTGGACAAAAACGCAAAACTGAATGAACAAGCTCAAAAACATTCGCTCTCACCACAAAGACGGGGGAAAAAACCATTTCGATGCATTTCAATAATCCAGTAGCTCATACTTTTCACAGAAATGAAATATGCCGCACATTTCTCAAAATACATTGACTAATGATGTTATTGAAATTAAAAACAAAGGAATGGATTTTTCTGACAAGGACCTAAAGTTGCACAGTTGCTCTTATTGCAAATGTATGAAAGTACGAAAAGATGATGTAACCATTAACATGTAACACTTGAAACGACGCACACAGTACCAAGCATAGAAACTTACAACTCACAGGATTGCTCGCAGTTGTAGTGTCTATGCTTAAATACGTCAGTGCAGCTTCAAAAGCAAACTGTGATGCTGAGTGGAAAGCTTTCTTCAAATGGTATAAATAACAAGGAGCATTGACAACATAAACCGTTGTATAAATATGGACAATAAGGGTGAAAAACAAGTGTCCATAATTGGTGCAAAATAAGCCACCCTTTTTTCCTTTTATAAATTTACATCTTTACACTGATCAGATCTCTGGTCAAATATAAACAAGTGTTATACAGTATTTACAAACAAAAAAAGTCTTCCCAACCGTGCAAAAAAACCCCACTGTCCACAAAAGTCAATGTGATATGATCCACTTCGGGTGTATGAACTGCCGACGTCAAGCATTTCAAAGGTAAATAAAAACTGTACAGAAACAAATGATGATTACTGCCAGAGGGGAAGCCATGGCCATTTCATGCCAACAGAAATGTGGTTGGGCACTGATCAAATTCACTGGTTCGTTGGGGAAGTCACAAACAATAATGTGTGCATGTGCCGGGGCGCACTTGGGTGCGAACGCTGATCTAACAGACAATATCCGAAATTTTGAAGGCGTAAGTCAAAAATCAAAGCAGAACATTTTCTTGAGGTAGTACAAGCTATGCCATAGTACAGATCATTTAACGTAGGAAATTCAAATTCTGGAACTGTTCGATTAACACTCTTCCAATTCAAGACAACCGTTACTGTTGGTAAAGTCAATACAGTGTTTCTATAGTTGTAAAAAAAATCATACAAAGTAAAGGCAAATCTTAAAATATTACACACGCATTCCAATAATATGACTCTTCAAAACTGTGTTAAAAAAAGCAAGTTCTCATCGATAAATAAAAATTTGTTTTGTTTTTTACACAACCACAAGTACAAATTTGGTGGAAGCTTTTTTTTTTTACGCAAATATAACGACAAAGGGGTAACTAAAATACAAGAAAGTTTGACGTAAAACAGCAGGCCGTTTTTCTGTTCTCATGGAGAAAAATAAGTTCGCCTCCAGCAAAAGGCTTTCCGCTCCTCTTCTGCCGCTCCCACTAGGCCCCCTTCATTTTTTTTTTCATTCTGGTCACGTCACTCAACAGACCTCTCGCTGTCTCGACTAGCTTCGCGCCACTCCAACAGCTAGGGGGCCCCCTCGCACAGAACTGGGCTTCCACAAAATGGACCTAAGATTGTTCCCTTTCTCCCTCCCTTGCAACGAAGGGCCAACGATTAAGTTCCCCGTGCTGCCTGCTGGGCTAAAAACAGCACTGATCTGATGAAGACGAGCATCTTTCCCGGGCGGGGGGGGGGGGGGGAATTCGCACTGGACAAA